AGGGAGAAGCTGGGCACTGGGGGTCCCTTCCCGGATGTGCGAGGTCCCCAGGGCAGGTCCATGCCCGAGAGCGGTAGGCCTGCCCAGGGTGGGAACCCGGGAAGCATGAGTAGGACGGAATGCGGTTAACGGGAAACTGAGATAGTGATCATAAGGCCCGAGAGACAATAGCCGCAGGCGTCTGGAGAGTCTGAAGGTCGTAAATCTAACTCTGACCACAGACGGCTGTGACGATGCCGGCAGGAACCGGTGACCGTTCAGAAAAAATTCACCCTCCCCAAACGTCTGTCCAAACCTCCTGTAAAACCCGCTGCTCTCCCCTTCCTCGGAGTGGCCGCTCTTTTTGGCCTCTGCCCATCTGCACCCAGATGCTCAAATACACAGCATTTTGCTACACCTCTCGCTGCGGACCTAACAGAGAACGCCTCCACTGTCCCACCTGTCCGATGCGATCTTTCCCAGTTGCCCGGTGGGCAGGAGTCTCTCAGCTGGCCTCTGATTTCTCCCAGAGGGAATCCGTCTGCGGATGGATGCTTCCTGGGTGCGGCTGTGGGTAGGAGGAGCGTCCAGAGCGTCCTGTTCCGCCGTGTTGCTCGGGGTCAGTTTATTTCTGCTGCCTCAGAATGTACCAGCTGTCAGGGAGATAGCCGATCTGAGCCGGTGACGCAGGGTAAAGTGAGCCACAACCCACAGTGGGGGAGTGGGGGTCACGGCCACACGAGCAAGGGCTGAGAACCCCCGACCCAGGCAGGTGGGAGGAGGCCCGGGGAGGCCCAGGAAGAGCCACAGCCTGGGCCACATGAACAGCAGCCAGGACAAAGTGGGCATTTGGCCTGGAGGACAAGCCCGTGGCTTGGACCATGTGAAGAGGGGTCGCAGGGGCAGGGACCCCACCAGGACACCAAGGTGTGGATTCCAGCTCATTGTGACGATTCTGCAGGCCAGGACACAACTAGAGTTTTCCCCAAGGAAAAGGGGCCTTGGGAAGTGGGAGTCCCCGCCTCAGAGGTTTCCAGGCAGGGCCGAGTGACCGCCCGATGGGTGCTGCAGAGAAGAGCTGCTGTCCCCAGACGAGGATGAAGTACACAGCTGCCAAGGGCTCGGCCAGTTATGTGCCATCCAAATCCATCGACTCCAAAACGCAATGACGAGTGAGCTTACAGAGCAAGGACTTCCTTGGGGCAGAAGGGCCAAGTTTCTCATTGTCCTGAAACTTCTATAAGCATGTGAAGGACTATAAATAGCACAACTGGTGGCGTGTATTCTTCTGCATGAAATACTCCCAAGGACCATCTCTTGCGGATCAGTTGCTGTGTGGTGACCCTCACCTGGGAGGAGGGTTGGCTGCTGATTCCAAAGCCTAAAGGGTCTCAGTTTCTCAAGAAGCCCCTTTACCTGCTACCCCATAGGCTGGGGGAGGTGATGGAAGTGTCCTGTGGCTCCTTGCCAGAGGAGTAGGAAGGGAAGATGCTAACTTAAACAAAAAGGGGTCCTAGTCCCTTCTGTTTCCTACAGGGGGAGATGGTGAAATTCAAATCTGTAAATAAATCCTCTGCAGTCTTAAAGGTACGGACGAGGGTATGGGGAAAGGAGAGCTGGACTCACGAGCCCTGCCCTGTCCTGCCACAGCGTGACCCTGAGGGCACACCCTTGGGGGCAGAGAGTGCTCAGCCCTGCAGAAGCCTGGAGCAGGCAGCGGGGAGGGGGCATTACTCCTTACAACAAATCCAGGGCAAGTGGGCTCCTCACGCCAGCCTGGGGGAGTGGGAAGAAGCCCAGAAGGGGGAGGGAGGAGAGAAAGAAACAGCAGGTCTCAGTGGCTGACGGGCCATGCCCGATCTGGCACCCAAACTTTCAGCAAAGCCTGTTACTCCACCCAGTTTCGTGGGGGTGGCACCCTGGGGAGGGCAGGAATCAGGGCACTGTCCAACATGGGGGGTGGGGTGGGAAAGGACCCGCACACCCAGGGGCCATGAGGAGAAGCCCAAGCCCCCTGGGAACCTACCCCAGAGGCCTTTGCATATGCAGGACTCTGGGCTTCCAACGTATTTGAAATGGGGTCTCCAGCCACCTAAAAATACTGCATCTAAGGCCCCTCACAGGCCGGGGCCACCAGGGTGCTGGCCATCTGGTCAGCACAGAAACAACCACGGAGGTGGCAGAAACTTCAATGTGGGCCCCACGGCGCTGGTTAGAACAGCCTAGGGCTCAGTGCTGGCTCAGTGCTGCTCAGCAGCACCTGTGTCCCTTCCTGGGTGCCCCAGAAATCCCAGGGCCACCAAGCTGGAGCTCCCCCAGGCCACTCTCCAGCCGGTCACCCCTGGGGTCCTCAGCAGGGCACAGACGGGGAGGGGCTTGGCCCTGGGAGTGTCCAGGCCTCACTGCATTTTCTGAGCAGGACGGAAGTAACTCTATCAGTTCTGCTAAAGGCTCACCCCACAGGCCTCACCTTGCCACTGTCCCCTCTTTGGCCCTAGGAAGGGAGGCTGGCTTCAGATTCTTCCCGAATCTGTGCAGAGGTGGCACCCACAGGGCCCCCCCCAGCATCCCTGTCCCCGAGGACTCGGAGTCGGGCTCACACAGACACTCTCTGTGTCTCCCAGTCGGGGCACTATGGAGGCGGCAGCTGGGGCGGGAGGAGGGACACCCACACCAATCCGTCATCACAGTGGCTGCAGGCCAGCGCCGGGCGTTCCCCTCACACCTTATCTGCTGGAACACTCCTGTGGCCCAGGGAGGGTAGTAAGTCTCTTGCCAGAGTCACCCCGCGGTAGCCCTGGTCACAAGGCTGTGGATGACAGAAGCGGGTGGTGCAGAGCCCCAGCCAGCCACCTGAGCTGCCGAGGCGGAGCGGACGCCACTGCACCTGAGCACGCAGGTGGCGGCCTAGGCACAGGTGGCAACCATCACGGCGCCTTGGTTTCCCGCTACCGAGAGCTGAGTGGAGATTGCGTTCTGTCGCCCAGTGAGCCGTGCTCAGAGGAGCCCACTGCGGGCTGAGCCTGCCCTCGGAGACAACTGAGCCAACCCTACAACCACCCGGCCCTCGGCCACTTCTGGAATTACCCGGGAAGGGCCTTCACAGCTGAGCTGATGCCCCTCACTGAGCGCGAGGGAAACCGAGGCCAGGTGGGCAGCTGCGCTGAGCTCACTCACACTCCTCCACCCCAGGAGAATCAGCCAGCAAACCCCCAGGGTGGCTCCTAGTTCAGGGCCTGGCAGACAGGGAGATGGCCGTGGTCTGTGCCACGTACGCCGTTTCCTAACAGAACTGGCTGACGCCGCGTCTAGCATGGACACCGAGCTCCACAGGACTGGGAACCCAAGACCTGCCCACCACCCGACACAAGCAGTGTGGCCTTGGGCTGGGCACGAGGCTCCATCTGTTAAAGGGACGTCCGTGGCTCTGTCCACCTCGCTGGATTGCAGTGAGGAGGCCCCTTGGGCCTGGTGTCACACACTGCCACTGGGCGTCAGGACACCTGCTCTGGGCCAGCCTTGAGACCAGGAACATCTCATCCTCCCCCAGGCCACTCTCCAGCTGGTCACCCCTGGGGTCCTCAGCAGGGCACAGAGGGGGAGGGGCTTGGCCCCGGGAGTGTCCAGGCCTCACTGCATTTTCTGAGCAGGACGGAAGTAACTCTATCAGTTCTGCTAAAGGCTCACCCCACAGGCCTCCTGACCCCAGGAGGATTGGTCTCGGGTGGGGCTGGGGGCCTGGGGAAGCCCAGGGTGGGGACAAGAGGGCAGGGCCTGAGGATCTTGATTCCAGCAGAACCCTAGGCCAGAGGGGTGGGAGGGTCCCAGGCACCTCCCCCCTCCCAGGGTGGTAAGTCAAGGAAGGGAGAGGACTGACCCTGTGTCCCAGCTGCCCAAGAGGCATGGGTGTGCATGCACCCAGCCCAGGAGGACAGGTCCAGACACACAGCACCTCCACGGGGTCCAGGGGCCTCCAAGGAACGTGCCCCAGAGAAGCCCTTGACAAACACCTGAGCCGGCTCCACGCCCAGGACCGAGCACTGTGCACTCTGCAGCCTCTCTGGCACCTCGGAACCCAGTGCCGTCCACCCCCTTCCTAGACTGGCCACTCCCATGGTGTCCTCCTCAGTTCCAGCCTCCTCCTCAGGGCCACGTGTTGTGGGGGTACCCCAGGCTCAGCTCACAGGGACTTTTTAAAGGTCACTCAAGTCTAGGGGCAGGGCAAGGTTCGATGTTCTCCGAGCATAAATAGGACAGGAGCTGGGCTGGCAAGAGATCCACCACTGCCATGTGGGACATGGGGACAGGCCACAGAGGGCAGTGCCCAGGGAGGGGGTTCACCCCTCTAGGCTGCCCCTGTGGTAAGAAAACAGACCTGGGAGGAAGGGCAGGCACCCACTTGTCCCTGTCCCTGCAGATGCTGGGGACGCCAGAGAGGGGCTCCCAACACGAGAATCTTCCCTCCCCTTGCCACCCTCCGTGACTGGGCGGGGCCGGCCAGGCAGCTGTGTCCAGCCCACGGAGCAGTCCCTGCTCCCGTCCACCCTCGGCCACACCGGGAGGCCCCGCAGGCCGAGGGGAAGCCGGGACGCCATGTGGACCAGCCCCCACCTCCATGTAGCTGTGTGCCACAATCCCCCTTTCCGGAGGGGACACCAATGCCCAGGGCCTGGCTAAGACATGGTGGCAGCTTCTCCTGCTCCAGACGCCCAGGGGACACAAGTCCCAGCACCCCCTGGAATGCGGGTCGCCGAATCGCAAGGCTGAACTGGGGGTGAACCCCGGGCAGAGCTTTGGGTGGGGAGGCTGGGCCAGGGAGGAATCAGAGGTTGGTGGAAAAGACAGATGAGCCCGGGGACATGGGACAGAGGGGACTGAGACAGGACCACCAGGAGGTGTCCTCTAGGGTCCCCGCCGTGCGAGGCCTGAGCCCTCCCGCAAAGGACGCGCTCCAGCCCCGCCTGCCCGGCAGCCCTTGAGGAGGCCGAGGCAACAGTACAGCGATTTATTGACCAGACTTAGCAGCAAGGATACAGCGAAGGTGGGGCCTGGCCAGTCCAGCCCGGCAGGGGGTCTGGCCCCCTAGAGCCCAGGCTGGTGACCCCAGCGTGTGGCCCCCATCTCCCCAGAGCCCACCCCCAGCCCTGCTCCCGGCCCCTCATGAAGCCAGGGCCAGCGGGGGGTCAGGTCCTGGAGGGGCTGGGGAGCCAGGTGGTGCGAGAGGCTGGCGCCGGGTACATGCCTGCCCCGGCAGCCGGCAGGAGGCGATGCGTGCGGGGCGGCGGGGACGTGTGGGCAGGCGGCGGCGGGCTCACCACACGGAGCACTTGTGGACAGGGTTCATGGGAGAGTCCTTGGGACAGTGGAAGGCCCGGCCGAACTCCTCGAACTGGGACACGCTGCCCAGCACCCTGGGGCAGGGAGAGACCCGTGCAGTGTGGGGCCAGGAGCCAGCCACAGCCACCGACTTCCAGGGCTGGCCCTATCCCTTCCCGCCCCCACCACACGAGGGGCACGGGGCCCAGCGGGCGGGGCACACCTGTAGTGCTCAGGCGCGTGCTTGTCGGTCAGCACCTGCAGGTAGATGGACTGCGACCGCCGCTTGATGCACCAGTTCTGGGCCAGGAGGGACGGAAGGGAGGAGGGGGGAGATGAGGCCAGGCATCCACTGTCCCCCACCAGGCACGCCAGGCCTTACGGCCCCCACCAGAATCACAGGGCCCACCTCTGAGGGGACGGTGACAGGAGACAGGCTGGCCCCACGGGTCTGGCCATGAGAGGCCTGGCTCAGGCAGGGCTGGGACCAAGCCCGGATGCTGTGTCCCCACCCCCCGGCCCAGTCCAGCCCCCACGCGGCCCACCTGGGCAAAGGCAATGAAGAAGAGCTGGTTGTGCGTGTACTTGAGCCGGTGCAGCGGGTGCTCTGGGCCGTGCTCCCGCACCCACTTCTGGTAGGCCTGGGGGCGCAGACAGCGTGGGGCGCTGTGCCACCCTGCCCCGGGCACTGCCCCTCTCCACCCTCCTCCCCGTCAGCCCCACCAGGATGCCAGCCCAGCTCTGCACGCCACCCACCCTGCGGAGTCCCTGACCCCAGGCAGGTGCCACCCCCTCCAGGCAGCCCTCTCTGCTCTCCCGTGAAGGTGGGGGCCCGTGGGTCCTTCCTCTTCCCGTGGACCGTGTGTCCCGTGCGGGCCCTGCCCCCGCCGACCAGAGCACAGCAGGACGGGCAGGGGGGTGGCTCTGTCCCATCTGGAGCCCTTATCAGCTCCCCGCCCCTCTCCCGCAGGGCCGACGCCGGCAGCGCTCACGTGTAGCGAGCTTGAGGCCGCCCATGTCTGCGATGTTACTCGCCACGTTGCTGCCTTCCCGTTCACGCTGCCCGGCGGAGCAAGTCAGGCCGCTTGGAGCCTGCCGGCCTCCTCCAGCGCGCGTGCCCTGGCCCGGCCCCTTAACTCCCGCCCACCTGCCGGCCTGCCTCGCCCAGTGTTGGTGAAGCTCCAACCACCGTCCTCCCACCACACCCCCGTGGTGCCCCGTGATCCGTGGAACTTGTCGACGCCCTGTGTGTGTGCACAGGACCCGTTGTGCAGGACGCGGGCTGCACGTCACTGGTCCGTGTGCAATCATGCTCCTAGTCTGGCGCCCAGCTTGGGCACAGGGCCGGTGTGGGGCTCACCCGCTGTTGTAACAGTGAAGTTGTCGTAGAGTGGACGTATGCAGCTCGCCTTACAGGCATGGAAGCGCTGTAGGAGGCCTCGGTCCACCAGTGTCAGCAGGTTCCCCGTGCGGTCATACTGCCCCTGTGGGCGGCAACAGGCCGAGCTGGCCTCCCCCCGCAGAACGCCCCTCCCCCGCCCCCACCACGCGCATCGTCCCCTCCCGGCCACCCTCTCAGGCCCCAGCAAGCCTCACCCCCAGTCGTCGTAGCCATGGTCAGCTCGTGCCCAATGATGGTGCCGACCCCCGTAGGTTCAGAGACCTGGGCCACAGCAGCAGCGTCAGACCCCCGCCATCCCAGCTCTCCGAGAGCCCACGCTGCGGCCCAGGCCTGAAAGGCCCCAAGCCAGGCCAGGAGGTGGCACAGGGAGGCCACGGAGGCACCTGAGTGTCCTGGGTCACTCATGCCCAGCTCCCCACGAGCTCTGTGACAGAGGCCAGCGTGCCTGCCCAGACTGCCTGGCAGGAAATAAACATCTAACAGAACTGGCAGGGCAGTGCAACAGCTGCAGAGACACAGGGAAACTGAGGCACCGCACGTGGGTCTGGCCTCCTACCCCATCACTACAAGACTCCATTTTGAACACCGTAACGCAAGCCTCCAAACAAGAAGGATAGACTTGGAATTAAAAAAATAATAAATAAAAAAAACCTACTGTTTTTTCTAAGTAACAAGATGAAGTGTGACTACAGGAACCAGGATCCACGGCCCGCCAGTGACCGAGCAGGTCCGGCGCTGCCGGAGCTGCACCCGACATCACGGCACCTAGCCAGCAAGTCCGCGCGGGCGGCTTCCGGCAAGGTCCTGTACTACACTGTGGAAATGGGGTCGTACAGGTGGGCTGCAGTATCCGGCAGGAATACTGCCAAGGAAGTGGCGTGTCAGCGGAACTCACCTCGCTCAGCCCTACCCCGGGGCACGCCTTCAACCCATCTGTTCTTGTTGTAAATAGTATGCTTGACCTGCCTGTCGGTGCAGCAGCCACCTGGGGAGGAGGGCAGGGCTCAGCTGGGAGCACACGCCTCCCCTTCCCACCTAACCTCCTAGTCCTCCTCCTTAAAGCCGCCCCAGATGCCAACCACTATCCCCCTCATTGAACAGGTAATCAGGGCCCACCTGGCGGGCCCCAACCCCAGCCCTGGAACGGGACCCTGCACCCCCATACCCACAGGTAGATATGCAGATTCAGCCCCCAGCCCCTGCCCTGGGACAGGAGCCCTCTCCCCGTGACCCTCCTCTGGCCCCAGCTCTGGCCAGGCACGCACGTGGACTTGTCCACCTCCTGCCGGATCTTCTTGACTGACAGCTGGATGCTGAAGCGGATACTGTTCAAGATGTTCTTGAAGTAGGTCTTCTCGTGGACCTCAAACTGCACGGGGGGCGAGCAGTCAGCGCCAGGCCAGGCCAGGGCTCAACACAGCAGGGCCCCAACTGGGCCCTGCAGGCGGCCTGCCCCGGCAGGGGGTGCCGTCAGCTGAGGGTCAGGCTGGGCTGTCGGCGACGGGGCGACGGGGCCCACCTCGTACTCCTTGTCCACGGCCTCGGGTCTGAGCAGGAAGTCCGGGTAGCCGACCATCACCATCATGTACTGGAGCTGTGGGCCAGGGGCTGGGTGAGAGTGGCCGGGGCCTCGGAGGACAGCCCCCACACTACCAGGGGGTAGTGCCAGGGCAGCCTGGGTGTGGGCGTCAAGGCGGGGGTGGGGGGGAGGGGCTGGCTGGGTATCGTCTCCTCCGCGAACATATCTTTGTCCCTTTTGTTTCTGTTTCTAAAGTCAGGGTTTCACTCGCTCAGCCAGGATGGAGGGCAGTGGCACAATCACAGCTCACTGCAGCCTCGGACTCCTGGGCTCAAGCGATCCTCCCACCTCAGCCTCCTGAGTTAGTGGGACTACAGGCATGAGCCGCTGTACCCAGCGCTTTTGTTCTCTTTCATTGGCACACAGTAGGCACTCAATAAATGTCCATGGAACCAACAGGTGGGATGAGGGCCCAGCTCACCTTGGCCCGAGCAGCCGCCTTGGTCTCAGCGTCCATCCAGTCCAGCTCCTCCAGGCGCTGGCCCAAGATGTACTTGATGTCTTCCACCAGCTGCTCCACCTGCGGGTCAGGGGGCCGGGAGCAAGGGTTGACCGGGCAGGCTTTCACTCTGGGCCCCCAGCTGCTGGGATGAGGGGTACCCCTGTCGTTCCCCACCACTTCTAAGCTCAGGGCTTGGTGCTGAGCACCAAGGGGAGACCTTGGAGGTGGGGATCCGGGACCTGCCCCCTCGACAATAATCTCCGTGTCTAGAAGGGGCAACTGCTGCAGCAAGGACCACGGACGTCGCTCAGGCCAGGCCTCCTGAGCAGGGCCGAGAAGGCTTGGCATGGAGAAGGCTTGGTCTGTCACCTGTGGCTGACAGTCCAGCCTGGCTTCCTGGAGGAGGAGGCCTAGTGAGGAGCAGAGAGGACTGAGCCCTAAGCCAGATCAACTGTCCTGACTACAGGAGGGATGTAGGGACGCCCCACACTCGGACAAGGCCACAGAAGGGCTCCACATTCAGTTCGGCACCTGCACCCCCACCTAAACCCAGGGCTGCCCACCTTGACTTTGCTGGCAGCTGAGAAGTGCTCATGTACAAAGAGGGCACCGAGTGCCATGCCAAAGTGGCGGTTGGCCTGGCCCAGGCAGACCCGGGCCAGCTCCTGTGGCTTGTCGCTACCCTCCATCTCACGTGCCAGCTCGTGCAGTGCCTCACGGAATGGTGGTGACAGGTGCTCACTCAGGACCACCACCACGCGCCACACCAGGTAGTTGTGCAGGATCCTGGGGGCCATGTGAAGCAGGTGGGTGTCCAGACATGCATATGGGCCACCCAAGGGCGCCTCCCACCCCACCCTAGGCCCCCCAGCTGGGGCTGGACCCAGCACCCACATAGCTCCCACAAAGAAGGGGGCGAGATCATTCCAGGTGTGTAGAGGCTGACCCTGGAGTGCCCTGAGCCTCCGTCACACAGCAGGACACTCTTGCTACTGACACCAGCCCCCGAAGCTGATGGCCCAGCACCGTTTGCTCACATGCTGTGGGGAGGGAAACTGGGCGCTTGGGCGTGACCCACCTGAGAGCTGGCCTGGAGAGGCCTCGCTTCCTCCCCAAGGTGGGCAGAGACCAGGAGGCTCTCCCCAGGGAATCCCTGGGACAGCAGGGTTGTGGCCACACTGTCCCTTTCCAGCTATCCCCAGGTGAAGAAACTGCAGCTCCAGAAGCTCACAGCCCTGCCCAGGGGCCCACAGAGCAGGTGGGAGAGTCGGGACGTGAACCCAGGGCTCTGGACTCCTATCTCGGAGGCGCTACCTGCCTCCCCAGTGTGGCAGCTGGACAGAGGCAGAGCTTGAAACTGGAAGCCCACCCAGCTGACAGGGCCAGGGCGCAGGGGCGGGGCCTGGGGCAGTGGGCAGGGGCCGATCTGCAGCCGTACCTGCGGGGTGTGGAGCGAATGAGCTGGGACACCTGCTGCATGTAGTCTGTGGCCAACAGCACCACCTCCTCGTCCTCGGAGAAGTCCTCCTGGAAGATCTGGTCCAACAGCCACTTCCACCGCAGCTGTGGGACCAAGGACAAGGACAGTGAGGCTGGGAGCGGCAGGGGCCGGCGAGGATGGGGGTGGGGGTCAGGTAGAGGCAACAAAGGGACAGGGGAGCCTGTGGAGAGGGAAAGCCTTGCCCCTCTCTGGGGAGGGGTGACCCGCTGGTCCCAGAATCAGCACCGCCCTCACTCTGCGTGCCAGGATGGAGCCACACTCACATGGGGGGTGATCTTCTGCAGCTGCCCCAATGTCACCTTGTTGTACATGGAGCTGACGTCTCGCCGGAGGTCATCATACTCCGACACAGTGATCTGGAGGTGGACAGCAGAATGGACCCAGCCCTGCCCCATCGTCCCTCCCCTGCCCGCGGCACCCCCAAGCCCTGCCCGCTCACGTTGGCCAGCCGCTGCTCCAGCTGCAGGATCTCCTGGGCCTTCTGCTCCACTGCATCGGCACCCAGGAGGCTGAGCACACGCTCCATGAACACCCTGTATGCTGCCAGGACCTGCGCCGGGAGAGGGGGCTCCTCCAGGCTGGGGGACAGGCCAGCCCCGGTCTACTCCTCCCAGGGCCCCAGGCCTTCCCTGCAACCCGATCCCGTGGCCCAGCACCTTCTCACTCTCCTCGTCCTGAGCTAGGTACAAGGTCCTCTCTGGCAGGGTGAGCCCGTCCTGGTCGATCTGGGGAGGGAGAGAGGGACCAGGGATAAACACGCAGCTCCCCAGACAGACTGAATCCCCCCAAATGCCCAAACACAGGGTGTGCCAGACATCCACTGTCACAGCCCCAGGAGCACACAGACACCTGCCCCTCGCTCCACCCAGACAAGCTGGACAAAGCCCTGATGGCTGCCAGTCCCAGCCTGGGGCACCACTGCAGAGCTCAGCCCCCAATCCTTCCCCCTGTACGCCTACTTTCCCCACCTGTGCGGGGCTCGGGGCACTCGCAGGGCCTGGCGCTGAGAACTGAGACCTCTGGCATCCCTGGCAGCCCCAGCCCCTCAGTGCATCCCTCCCGCCCTCACCGCCTGCCAGAGGCCTGGGAAATTGCGGCTCCCGCGGCTCCGCTAAACACTGCAATTACCCAAGGGAAATTACTCGCGCCCTCCTCCCGCCTTCTGCCCCTGCCTGCTCTCCTCCTTTCCTCTCCCCTCCCCTTCTGCGGGCAACAGGACCCTGCAGGCTGGGCAAGAGCGCCCTGAGTCCGCCGCTGCCTGTAGGGTGCTCGGGGAGACGCACTCACGCGGATGACATAGCGCGAGGAGTTCCTGTCGTCCAGGCTGACCGTGAGCGAGAAGAGAGCGGCCGCGCTGTACACGCCCTGCGCCTTGTACAGCAGCCGGTTGAGGTCCCAGCGCGCTGCAGCCCCTGGGTGCTCCGGCGCCCCGCCCAGGTCCCAGCCCCCGCAGTCCTCGATGACCTCCAGCATGGGCCCCGGGCCGAGCCGCTCGATCTCCCGCATGTCGAGGCACGAGCGGAAGAAGGCGCGCACCTTGCGCTGGGCCGAGCCGCCCGGGCCACCCCCGGGCCGCGCCAACAGTCGCCGCAGCCGCTCCTCGTTCTGCTCGCCGATGGCCGCTATGGTGCCATAGGTGAGCTTGTCGTCGGGGATGGCGTGGCGCCGCAGCCAGCCGCCGCACGCGAACGAGTAGAAGTCCTGGCACGGGTCGATGCTGGCGTCCAGGTTAGCGGACAGGAAGCGCGCGGCGCGCGCGAAGGCCTTGCGCTCCGGGCAGCCCTCGGGACAGGCGCCGCCGCCGCCCCCCGCGCCCGGGCCCAGGTACTTGAGCACCAGCATGGCCGCCAGGATGGCGCAGAGGCCGGCGGCGAACACCAGCCCCGACAGCAGGCACACTTCGCGCCGGTTCCAGCGCGGCAGCCCGGCCCGGGCCCCGGAGGCGCTGCGCCCCGCGCTCAGCGGGAAGCCGGGAGGCAGCGACGTTCCGCGCGCGCCCCCAGCGCCGCACCGGCTCACGTACTTGACTTCCTGGAACTCGTCGTAGTGCGCAGTCATCGAATACGGGGCCTCCATGGCGCCCCTTGGTCACCGCCGCTACAGGACGCACCCGGCCGCCGGCCTCCTCGCGGGCCTCCGCATGGCCCCCGGGGCCGCAGCTGCGGGAAGGACAGAGGCAGGCTCAGAGAGGCGCCGCAGCCCGACGGGGCCCACGGGCAAGGCACGGCGAGGCGGGGCTGGGCCTAGGGGCAGAGCCCCCAACCGCGGGCCCAGGCCGCCCCACTGCGCGGACGAGAGAAGAGGAAAGCGCAGCGCGGTCGCCTGGCCCCAGCGTGCACAGTGGAGTCCTTTCCTGCCCCCCAATTCCCTGCACACACGTGCCGGCCGCAGGGTTGGGAGGCCCCTGACATAAAACTGCAGGCGCCGCCACCGGGCATGGCACTTAGTAGGCCTTCGCCGAAAGGCTGTCTCTTCCCTTTGCCTTTCTTGTCTGCGACCTGCCACAGCCAAGGCTGGGTGGGGGAGGCGGAAAGAGCGAGGCTGGAGAAAGGAGGTGTGGTCAGGAGCGCGTCTATGCGGACCCTGAAGTGCTTCCCGCTCTCCGCACTGGACCGAGATGCTCAACAAAGCGGCCACAGAACCAAACTTTGTCCTCGCGGAAGTCCGCAGGACCACTCCTAGTCCCATGCCCGGCTCCTTCTGCTCCGCAGCCCGAATGCCCACCAGCCCCTTCCCAGCGCCGCGCGCCGTCGGCCCGGAGTCGGGAAGATACCCCCCCCCACGACCCTCACGGAGGTTCCGAAACTGGATCCGTCCCCATCCCCGCCCCGGGCCACTCCCGGCTTCAACAGGTTCTCCCTGGAACCCAAACTTGGGCGAAGTTTCACCCCGGGCGGTGCGCGAGCTGGCCGGGCGCACCGGAGCCCTGGCGCCCCGCCGCCGCGCAGTCCGCGGAGCCCGGGAGCCGCAGCCGCAGCCGGAGCCGCAGCCGCGAGGACGCAGACAAAGCCAGGAGGCTCGGCGCAGCGGCCGCGGCGGTGGCGGAGGTGGCTACGGTGGTGGCCGCGGCGGCTGCGGACTCGGCCGACACTTACCCCGCAGGTGCGCGCCGGGGCCGCGCGGGGACAGAGCGGGTCGGGCCCGAGCCGGGGCCTGGGGCTTGAGCGCAGCGGCGCGGCGACCGCTCTCCCGGTGCGCCCGCCGCCGCCTCTGCCGCCGCGCCACGCCGCCCGCTGGCTCGAGGGAGGGGGCGCGCCGGCGGCTCCACCCTCCTCCGCCGGCCTCTCGCCCCCTCCTTCTGCCTGCGTCCCTCCGGGCTACCTGGCAGCGCGGCGGCAGCGCGGACACGCTCACGAGAGTCGTGCACGGGCTCCGGTCGGGACTCCGGGGCAGCCGCTCCTCCAGGGAGGGGGCCCCTCCGATCCCGCGCCCCACCTGATCCGCCCACCAGCCCACTGGGAAGAGCTGAAGCCGGAGCGAAGGAAGCGCGGCTGTCCCAGCGAGCCCACGGGACTGGACCGCCACCCCGGAGGCTTCTCCGAGGGGCTGGGGCGCCGCCTGTAGCGGCCCGTGACCGCCGCGCCCGTTCCTGACGCCCAGCGCACCTGCGGTAGGGCCTTCCACGTCCTCCGTCCAGCCCCTGCCCAGGGGCAGCCCTCTCCGAGGGCGTCGGGGCTTCGGCTTGGCCCACTCCCTGCCCCCAGCCCTGGTGGAGGGAGAGCAGAGGAGAGCCCTGCAGGCAGAGGGCCCGGGCTGAGACTGCGCCCCACGCCCAGCCTTGGCGGGCCCTGGCTCCCTGCTCAGGATGTCCCTGGCCCAGGTAGGGAGAAAAGGCCAAGAGGAGAGAGAGAGGCCTCCCGCGGGACACGGTGCGGGCTGAGCCTGCCCCCGCCCCCAGCAGCCCAGCCCTCGCACAGGCCTGGGCCTGGGTATATGGACTGGCGGGAGGACAGGCTGGGTGGGGGCTCTGAATTTACCCAGCCCTGTCTTCTCCCAGTTGAACTTGCAGTTTAAGATCGGGCTTCCCTCTGCCTGTGTCCCCACCATAGCCACAGGCCTGGCCTACAGGGCCCCGGAACTCAGGTTCCAGCCTGCAGGACTGGCCTAAACAATGTCTGAGACAGCCGTGGTGTGCCATCTGATGAAAACCACCACAGGGTGGGGACTCAAGGGACCCACCGATCACCTTGTCCCCCTCCTCTGTGGCACAGCATCAGCCCAGGTACTGGCCCCTGGCCCTGAGTGGCCGCCTCTGCCCCGTCCTGTCTGTCCTCTGTGTGTCCCTTGCTGCATCTCTGAGCCCCCACTCGGAATCTTCTGCCTCCATCTCTGGCCACCCCAGGCCCTCCTCGGCCCCATGCGTTCCTCTCCGGTCCTGTTAATTCCGGCGAGGAGGGATGGAATTACTTAAAATGGGTGATTCCATGAGGGGGAGGGGAGGCCAGGGAGGTGGCAAAGTGGCTCTTTGTGCTTTTAATCTGCATTTTTCCCTCAATGTTCCGTCTCCAGGAGGATAATTTTCCAGCCTTTTCAGGCCCTGATTGGTATCATTTCTCCAGCAATGACAGCTTTTATTTTCCCCGAAATGAATGCCGTGAAATTTCCAAGAAATATAAAAATGGATATTGTCTCAGGGAGCCGATGCTCTTCCGACAGAAAGGCACGGAGGCAAACATGCTTCCCTAGGGACTCTCCTGCTCAAGCCACCAGCGGTGGGGGACCCGGGTCCTCAGCCCTCCCCCTCCCTCCCTCCCAGGCCAGCTCAGAGGACCCCTTCTGGCCATCCGTCCCCAGGCTCAGCTGCCATTGATCTGTGTGTGGGTCTCCCCACTCCCAGCCAGGGCCCTGCCTGCCTGGCTCCCCACCCATCCCCCGCACCCACCCCACGAGCCTCCTCTGGCCTCACCCCAGCCCAGAGCACAGCAAACGGGGGCCCACCGGACTTGACTTGGCTTTGGGCCCTCTGGCCATGCAGTCCTGGTCACCCCTACCCAGCCTGCCAGTAAGCAGGGCAAGGGACCCTCTCCTTGGCTCTTCTGCCCTCCAGAAAGGGAACTGAGGCTGTACATGGGGGGTAGGTAGGGGGTTGGCAGTGACCTGGTCTCCAACTCTCTTTTGGGGGCTTCCCCTCACCCCTAATTGCCAAAGTGACTCCATGACTTGTGAGCAAGAGGATGACAGGCCACAGCAGTGCCCAGCTAAGCCCAGCCGAGCCCTGAGTGAGGCAGCTGTGTACCCAGCTTGGGGGCGGGGTGCACAGGGCAGAGCTGGGGGCTTCGGGAGCTGACCTCTGTCTCCGCTCTGACCGAGGGCTGATCCCTGCCCCCCTGCCAGAGGGGCATGGCGGGATCTGGGTTCTGGGAAAGGAACACTGAGCACCCACAACTCCCAGCTTCGTGGGGGGCAGCAGTGCTCACACTAAGGACTCACACCTGTAGAGCATCATCAGGTGAGGTGCTGAGTGCCTTGCTCCAAGGGAGGCGCCAGCCCAGAGTCAGGCCTGGCCCAGCCCGGAGCCCAGTCGTGGTCAGACCCATTTCTGTCCCTTCTGGCTTGCACAAGTGGCAGGGACGGAACACCCTGCCCTGCTTTGGTATGTTGGAGCAGGGAGTCAGCTCGGCGAGCCCCCCCAGCCTCCACCCTGTCCAGCCAGCCCCCACCCTCCCAAATATTCTGTAGTATCTTCTGTGCCCTGAATACACGCCCCCCCCAACCCGTTCCTGCCCTCCGCCCAGCCTCCCAGGCCTCATCCCATCTATTATTCACAGCGCAAAATGGATTTTTAATTTGAGAAATGAAATGACTCTCCCAAGGGGCTGGGGTGGCAGGGAGGGGGCGGAGAAGGGCTGGAGCCGTGGGGCGGGCACCACAGTGCTGACTCAGGCGCTGGAAAGCAGGGTCCCCACAGCAGACCTGGGGGCTCCCAAAGGCACCTGTACCCCCCCACCCAGCCCTGTACCTCCACTCCTCCCCGTTGCAATGGGGTGAGGGGGTGCTCATCAGTCCTGCCTGAGCCTCCAGTGGGGTCTGCTTCTGGCCAGGCAGGGGGAGGGACGGCAAGACCCTGTGCTCTACTGGCCTTCGGATTCCTATGTCTCAAGGCCAGCCCTTAGGCCCCTGGCCTGGCCCATTCATCACCTCCCCAAACTCCCTGGCCCTCCCCAGGCTGGGCTCGAGTAGCTCCTCCAGTTCCTCCAGCCCTCTCTGAGCTCCACTGCTGGGCCCTGGCCCCTAGCAAGGCCCACTCCAGACTGGATGGCTGCCCGGGCCAGCAGCTCCCGGAACCCCTCCTCACCCCTCATGACTGGGCTTGCACACCGTAATGTGCGCAAGAGGCAGCAGCCTCTTCTCAGCCCTTCTTTGTCCTTCTCTGTCTCCCCATCCCCTCCCTCCCTCCTCCTTCTGGTCACTGTGATACACGTTCATTTCCCAGAGCATAGCTGGCTCTCTCAAACCTCAGGCCTTAGCACTTGCTGTGCGGGCTGCCTGGACGCCCTTCCTCCATTCCCTCTTCCATTTGCAGATTGCCAGTCGTCCTTCTGGGCCACTCGAGAGCGCCCTCCTCCATCTGGTTGGGTGCTGCCTCCACGGGCCCCATCACACGGAATCACTGAATGCAAAGTTCTCTCCTGTGACGGCCCCTGTTCTTCCTACATCCGTGCAGCCCGCAGCCCCTTCTGGAGCCCAGCTCAGAGGACACATGCAGTAAGCTCAGGTGACAGCTGTGACCAGCTCAGGGAGAGCCCCTGTGTGGAGTATGCCCCAGTTCCAAGCCTTGTACTAGGCACACCAGCCACCTGGAAACCTGCCCCGGCTCTTGGGTCCTCAGACGCACCCTTCCTTTTCTCTGAGGCCCATCAGACAGCAAGAGGGGGCGTTCCTCCACTCTCCCGCACCCCGCACTTCCACTCTCAGCTCTGTGGTCAGCTTCTGTCCCCACTGTGCACAGACTACTTTCAGGGTCACCTCTTGACCTCTAGATCAGTGTTTTATTTTATACAAGAAATACGTAAATACATTCTTGTTTTAAAAGGTTGAAGCCACACAAATGTGTAGGGGACAAGCATGAAGGCCCTCCTGGGCAAGGCAAGGCTAGCTCTGTGACCGCTTCAGCACGACGTCTGGGCCCAGCCGGGCATCTGTATTCCACCGATTTATTTCCAATAAATAGGTCACTGTAAGATGCGTGGTTTAGTGCCTT